ACAGGACAGAGCGGAGTTTAGGGCTGTTGTACATAGGGTCGCCATGAGTTGCAGGCGACTCGACGGCACATAACAACAACAACAACAACATTCCTATCCCAGCACCCCACTACCCCTAGAAACCCTGAGGTGGGCAGTAAATAGAAAGTGGAAAGGAAATAGAAAAAGAAAGGAACATTCATTTGGGAATGGGGGTAGGGAAGCGTTTGATAGACTATTTTGGTTTAGAATGAAAGAGAGGTGGTCCTTGGTTCCCCCTAACCTTTCTCCTGTATGAAGTCTCTTAAGCTGTCTTTCTTCAGCTTGTGTAAATGATTGATTTACACCATGGTATTCTTTGAAGTATGTTTACCTGGAGTGCCTGGGTAAGTGGCCTGGTTGCACCATCAGCCTTGAATATTTTCCAGCCCTGGCAGGGTTTAATTTTTTACCTGTCTTGTCTTATTTTCACTGTAGAGCACTGTGTGGAGTTCCAGAAGCTGAATGTCAGCAATTCCAGCCACGTGTCCCTGCAGAATGCTACCTCTCCAGTCATGGAGTTTTGGGAGTAAGTGCAAGAAAGCTTGTTCCTATGGCCCACTGGCTCTGTCCTGTTCTTCTGTTCTGCTCAGGCACCCTGGACAGCACTTACCTTTCCTCCAGTCCAGAGGTTTAGCAGTTTCCTCAAGGGGTAGCTGAGAGAAATGAGTTATTTTTCTCTGACTACATACCTGTATCCCTCTGCTTATTAGGGTGAGAGATGTTATAAAATGATAGACATTTAAAACATTCCCTTTTCTAACACATCTGCAATAAACTAAGTAGATTATATGGAGCCTAGAATGCTGAAGTCTCATGGGTGGAGCTAGCGTCTTTTTAGTTGCTGAAGTGTTATCAGTTCAAAGTAAATAGACCAGCTTTATGAAATGGACACAGAGGAAAGTCATTGAGGTGGTGTTGTTCCTGCAGTTATGTTGGTGACCCCATGCACAATAGGGCTGACTATCCCATCATCAACTGTGGATCTGACTTTTCTGATCTATAGGGTTTCATTCACACCCATCCACATCCCCCTTGTCCATGGCATTGTTATTCTTTCCCCTCACACCTCGGCATTCATGCTTGCCAGACATACATTGTTAATGCACAAACTATGCAGCAGAGGATTCATTTTCCCCCTTCAAATTGATTTTTATTTTAACAAGTTTACAGAAAGATTGGGGTTTTATTCATTAATTGTTGAACATTTTCATCTCCCCCTTCTCTTCCCCTCCCCTAGTACACTTTGCAATGTACTTGTCCAGATTGTCATCGTATATATAATGCATAATCATACATTCCTTTCAGACAGTCCTTCCCCTCATCTGTTCCAATGCAGTGTTCATTATCTATCCATTCTTTTTCTATTTGCCTCATAACCCCCATGTCAGTCCTATTTTATAATAGCAGTGTTATGCAGTATTTGTCCTTTTGTGACTGAGGCATTTCATTCAGCCTTCCAGGCTCACCCATGTTGTGTAGTGTTTTATAAAGTCATTGTTTTTCAGTGCTGCATAATATTAAATTTTGTGAATGTACCAGTTTTTCTATCTATTCATTTTGTTGATAAGCAGTTGGACTGCTTCCATCTTTTTATTATTGCAAATAATGCAACAATAGTGCATACATCTGTTTGTGTCACAGCTCTGGTTTCCTTAAGGTATATTCCCAGTAGTGGAATTGCTGCGTCAATGTATTTCTGTTTCCAACTTTTTGAGAAAGTGCCAGATCATCTTCCACAGTCACTGTACCATTGTACATTCCCATCAGCACTGTATAAGAATTCCAATCTCTCCAAAACATCACCAGCATTTGTTGTTTGCTGCTCTGTTGAACTTTTGCTATTACTTATGGGTGAAATGATAGTTTAGAGTTGTTTTGATTTGCATCTCTCTGATACCTAGGGATTTTGAACATTTCTTGATGTGTTTGTTTGCTATCTGTATTTTTTCTTTTATAAAGTATCTATTAATATCTTGTGCCCAATTTGTGATTGGGTTGATTACCTTTTTTTTTGTTGGTGCTGAAGTTTTATATAAATTTTAGATATGCCTCTCTTAACAGATTTGTTATTGCCAAATATTTTTCCCAATCTGTAGGTTTCCTTCTTACCGTGTTGGAGAAGTTTTTTGATGTGTGTAAGGATTTGATTCTTAGAAGGTCCCCTTCATCTGTTTTATTTTCTCCTAGTTGCATGTTTTACATTATGTTTAAAAGTCTGTTCATGCTGCAGATACGGGCTTCTAGAGTTGTTCCTAGATTTTCTCTAATGAATTTTATAGCTTTGGTTTTACTCCTAGGTCCCTTCTACCTTAAATTGGCTTTTGGGTATGGTATGGTATGGTATGGTATGGTATGGTATGGTATGGTATGGTATGGTATGTATGATATGGTATGTGGATCTTGCTTAAGTTTTCTGCAAATGATTTTCCAATTTTGTCAACACCATTTGTAAGGAGGTTTCCCCACTTAACTGTGAAAAAAAATCAGTTTGCTATAGGCAAACAAGTTGATTTCTGGGTTCTCAATCTTATTCCATTGATCTATATGTCTGTGCCAGCTCCACACTGTCTTGACCACCATGGCTGTGCAATAGGATTTGAGATGATGGAGTGTGATGCCTCCTACCTTGTTTCTCTTTTTCAGTAATGCTTTGCTTATTCAGGGTCTCTTTCCATTACAGACAAAATTAGAAATTGCCTTTTCCATCTTATTGAAGAACAGAATTGGTATCTGTATAGGGATTGCATTGAACTTATTGATTGTCTTTGGTAGAGATGTCTTTTTCATGATATTGAGTCTTCCTGTCCGTAAGCATGGTATATTCCTCCATTTCACTAGATCTTTTTATTTATTGCATTAATGTTTTATAATTTCATATGTATAGGTCTTTTGTGTCTCCAGTTATATTTTTTGCGAAGCATTTAATCCTGTGATTAAAATCTTGTGATCTTAATAGGTATCCGGTATTTTAGCTTTGTTTCTATATTCTCTTTGTTATGGTAGAGAAATCCAACTGATTTTGTTTGTTGATCTTGTATTTTGGTACTTTGCTGAATTGGCTGACTACATCCAATAGTTTCCTTCCTGAATCCTTAAGGTTTTCTTAGTATGCTATCATCATCGGCATATAGCAAGAGTTTTACCTCTTCTTTGTCAATCTGGATACCTCTTATTTCCTTCTCTTGCCTTTTTGCTCTTGCTATACTAAAGAGTTGAATAGAAGATTTCAAAAGGCAGCATGGGATGACAAAGTAAAATATTACAATGAAATGTGCAACGAGTTGAAGTCAGAAAATCAAAAGGGCCTAAATCACTCAGCATTTCTTAAGCTCAAGGAACTGAAAAACAAATTCAAACCTCGAGTTGCTATAATCAAAGATGCTTTAGAAAGAATATTAAAAGATCCAGGAAGTATTAAAAGAAGATGGAAAGACTATACTGAGTCACTGTATCAAAAGGAACTGGAAGACACAGAATAATTTAATGCAACAACATAGGAGCAAGAGCCTATGGTGATGAAGGAAGAAGTTCAGGCTGCTTTGAAGGAAATAGTAAAAAATAAGGACACAGAAGAATTTCATGAAACAACATATGAGCAAGAGCCCATGGTGATGAAGGAAGAAGTTCCGGCTGCTTTGAAGGAAATAGCAAAAAATAAGGCCCCAGGAATAGATGGTATACCAATTGACATATTTTAGCTAACAGATACTTCCCTGGATGTGCATGTGCCAAGAAATCTGGAGAACAACCACTTGGCCAACTGACTGGAAGAGATCCATATTTGTTCCCAGCCCAAAGAAGGGTGACTCAACTGAGTGTGGAAACTATAGAACATCAACTGAGTGTGGAAACTATAGAACAATATTGTTGATTTCACATGCAAGCAAGATTCTACTGCAGATTATCCAAAAACGACTGAAACAGCACATCAGCAGAGAACTGCCAGAAGTACAGGCTTGGTTTAGAAGGAGTCGTGGTCCTAGGGATATTGTAGTTAATGTTAGATGGATCTTATCTGAAAGCTGGGAATACCAGAGGAATGTCTGTCTGTGTTTCATTGACTATGCAAAGGTATTTGACTGTGTGGACCATAACAAACTGTGGCTAACCCTGAGAAGAATGGGAATCCCAGAACACTTGATCGTGCTAATGTGAAACCTATACTTGGACCAAGAGGCAGTTGTCAGAACATAGCAAGGAAACACTACATGGTTCAAAATTGGGAAGGGTGTACGCCAGGATGTGTCCTATCTCCATACCTTTTCCACCTGTATGCAGAACAGAGGCTAGGCTCGATGAGGAGAAATTTGGGGTCAAGATTGGTGGAAGATCTATGAACAATCTGTGTTATGCAAATGATACAACCCTGCTTGCTGAAACTGAGAAGGACCTGAAACGCTTGCTGCAGAAGGTCAAGGACTGCAGCCTCCAATATGGATTGAAGCTCAATGTCAAGACAAAGATTCTTATCACTGGACCAATTGGCAGCATCAAGACGGATGGTGAAGAGATTGAGATTGTTCACAGCTTTAGTTTGCTTGGCTCCACAGTCAACACTCTCAGCACCAGTAGCCAGGAAATGAAAAGACGTATTGCAATGGGAAAGTCTGCTGTTAGGGACCTCTCCAAAGTTCTGAAGAGAAATGGTGTCTCTCTGGAGACTAAGGTGTGTCTGATACAGGCCAAGGTCTTTGTTATCACTTGATATACATCAGAGAGTTAGACAGTGACTAAGGAGGATAGAAGGATAATTCATGCCCTTGAGCTGTGGTGCTGGAGAAGAGTATTGAGGATACCATGGGCTGCTAGGAACACAAACAGATTCATTCTGGAAAGGGTTAAAACCAGGCGGGACCGGTCCTTGGAGAGGGATATCATGCTTGATAGGGTGGAGGGTCAGCGAAGGAGGGGAAGGCCCTCTATGAAGTAGATTGATTCAGTGACTGGGGTAATCAGGATAGGTGTGTTGGAGAGAGTGCGATTGGCACAGGACAGAGCAGAGTTTAGGGCTGTTGTACATAGGGTCACTATAAGTCACAAGCAACTTGATGGTACATAACAACAACAACAACAGCAAGACTTCCAATCCAATATTGAATAGGAGTAGTGATAGTGAGAATCCTTGCATAGTTCCTTTTCTCAAAAGGAATGCCTCTACTCTCTATTTAGAATGATACTGACTCTTGGTTTTATATATTTACCTTTCACTATGTTGAGGAATTTCCTCTCTATTCCTATTTTGTTGAGTGTTTTAATCAGAAATTCATGTTGGCTTTTTTCAAAGGCCTTTTCTGCACCAATTGATAGGATATGTGGTTCTTGTTCTTTTGTTTGTTAATGTGTAGATCAGAATTGAGAGCTTTATTTTCTATTTCACTAATTCTGTGCTCAATCACTTCTACTCTGCTTATCTGTCTCCAACATGTTGACAGTTTTTGAGACTCTGGTCCTAATATTCTGGATTGCTCTTTATTGTTTTTCAAGGGTTTCTAATGCCTCATTTTTTTAATCTGCATTATTTTAAAC